CTCTCTGCTACATTGCTATCTTCTCTATTCAGCATGTCCCTTGTTAGTACATGAGCACTGCAACACAACTGGTTGGCTTCTTGTGCTGCTTCTCCCTCTTTCAATGTGAGTTCTGTTGGGTTATTTCAAGAAGCTGATAGCATGCCAAAATACAAGTGCTCACACCTAAACCTTGTTTACATGGGCAGCCAGGGGGCAGTAGAAAACAAATGGTTTTATCTAAAAGATTGTATGTCACTCAGAGTTGTACACTTGGCATGGCAGTACTGAAATAATGCCACTTGTCGCATTTGGTACTACCAAGAAACCTGACCAGTTCAAGTGAATAGGGATAGGCTGCAACCACAAGCCAAACTCTTGGTCAAGGTTATAGCATGGTATTTACACAAAAAAATCCCCATTTGTCTGGCAAAAAATGCCATTCAGGAGGCATCAGTATCGCTTACCAAAGCTTGGCAGGTGCTGCTCTACTGCCCCACTGAAATGTGGTCTACCGTAAATTACTTTCAGAGAAGTAGCAAGGGCTTCCTACTGTGTGAATAAGCCCTTTAAAATACATTTAATTAATTATTACAAAGCTGCTAATATGTACCTTTTACATCAACCTAGACTTCAGCTATAAGGCTCCTTGCATCATTATGTCTACCTTAGCAGGGGCGAACTGACAACTCATGAGGCCCCGGGCAATAGGGGATCATGGGGCCTGTGTCCTTGCCCAAGCTCAAAAAAGCCTATGAAAAAGGTACCAGGGGCATCGCATGGGGCCCCTACTGACCCCGGGCCCTCGGGCAGTGCCCGAGTTTCCAAATGGTCAGTCCGCCCCTGTACCTTAGTCATTTAGTCATTTGATATTTTTGGTTACCTTAAAATGGAGCTAAACTGAAAAAAAGCCTTTTTGGTAGAGAGTTTGTAAAGGTGGCCAACGGTGACTGTTTTTTGTTTCGTTCAGCCATCAGCTGATATCGACAACCCAGACAGCGACAGTGAAATCTAAGCTCTAATGAATGACTTCTGTCGAGCAGGGATGGTTTCGCATGAATTAAAATTCAGCCAGTCCCTGCTGAACCAGTTGAATTTTGATCCATCTATCACCAGCTTTAAGTCTCTTCTGCCCAACAACTATTCTGTCTGATAGCATATGTTCTGTTTGTGTACAATGCATGTGCCAGGACAATATAACTCCAGCCAGTAGCAGGGGCTAATCTCTGTCAGACATTTATAAACATAGTCAAAAACTGCACAGGCACCATAATTTTCATGATTTTTTTCATGCCCAAGCCAATACTCAATGCAGGAAGTAGATGGTGACCCTTGGTAGTGCCTGAACAAAAACTGCTGTATCCTTCTGGAGAGAAAAACAATTAAAGTCATTGCCAAGAAAGTACTGTGATCTCTGTGGAAGGTAATACATTTGTGTAGGTGTTACACTCACATATTACTTAGCAGGCACTTAACATGAAAAAAAGATATCTATGTATGTATGCTAGGTCCACATTAAACCTGCAGGAGTGATTCTGTTGTTTAAATTTATGTATATGGTATTATATTTTTTGACAAAATGTTGAAAAAAAATTAAAAGAATTTGCAGAGAGCTAGAATTGTATGCTTTGCTAACTTTGTTTATAGCACATTGTAAACTCATTTACTCTGTTAACCTTGAAGAGATCAAACCCAAAGCTAGTCAAAATGAATAAAAAGTCTAGTAGGGTATTGTTTTTTTTTTTTTAATTTGCATTTTATTTTAAGTAGAATAATACACTCACCATCTGTTGTACGTAAGGACCCCTGAAGAGCCGAGCTTAATTAACTGCCTGAAAAATAAAAATTCATAAATGTTTATTTAAGATACTGTTTATCCAACAATATTTGTAGAATAAGCACAATCTTCTAATTAATTAGATTAAAAGAGTAAAATGGTACTGTAAATGCATTACAAATGAAGTAACTTAAAAGTGAGCCATTAATATTTTAACTGAAATTTTTGAGAATTGACAGGAGGAATGCTTGTGATGGGAGGATAAGCTATCACTTTTGTAAATTGCAGCAACGATGTGTTAATAATCAAGACAACTTTAACTGTGGAATGCTGAATGGTAGATAAAGAGCAGAAATCTTTCATGGTCCAATTATATTCCTAAATGAAAGGACCATATTTTTAAAGGGCTTACTATACATGCATTTGTTAACTTAGTATATTTTCGATTATGGAGCTTTAAAAAAGAAAATATCATTATAAAAGAAAATCTACCCTTCTATAAATTCTTATTAATACCATCATCAATCCTAGGAGCATAATATTACTGTCGTGGTTCCAAAATCACTGTAACTTTATAGAAACCTTGGTGTTAATATATCAACATGCAGGCCTTTATCATGTTCATAGTTGCAAACTGTCGCAAATTGGCTGGGACAGTCACGGATTTTCAAGTGTTGTCCCAACATGACTTTGTCCTGAGTCTCGAAAATGACAGTCGTTCACGGACAGTCAGGCATCAGCCAGCCAGCTGTCAAATTGGATTGCTTGCAGGCAGCCGGGGTCACAACTTCACTCTGACATCGGGGCTTTTTTAACATTTATTGCCGCTGGGGTACCTGCACACCAGGGCACACCTTTTGTTGGTCTGCCATGCCGGGAGCCCACAACATGGACAACATGAGGGCACAGATCCTTCCCCCTACCTCCTCCCTCAGCAGCTGTCCATGGGCTCTGGACTCTGCACTGAAACATCCCTGAGGCGGAGACTGTGAGGCATTGTCCGGCTGCAGTGACTTTGTTTGGGTGGGGGGGTGTGGGCAGCCCGCCTGCCTTCTCTCTAGTGGTGGTACACAGGGCCGGATCAAGGGGGGTACTGGAGTAGGCTATGCCCCCCCCCAGATATTATTTGTGCCCCAGCCTCAGGACAGGGCCACTAGCAGGGGACTGTGACCCTATGCTGCTTGAAGACGAGGAACCATGTACAGCTATCAGGTAAAAGGAGCTATGAAGGAGTAAAGTGTTCCAGGTACAAAGCTTGTACTGTCATGATGTTCATTACTATATGCAGGTGCAGAAATAGGGGAACCAGTGGGGCTGTATATGGTAAATGAAAACATTTCCCACAGCACCTGCTAATGCCCATCTCAAATGATTTATTCTCCCCAGCTTTCTGAGTGTTGTTTTGCCCGTGTGACTTGCTCACCCAGTACACAGAACCTGCACCCCTTGCTACCTTACAGACGAACATCTGCTCTCCAACTGCTGGACAGTGCTGTCATTTACAACTGTATGATCCATAGCACCAGTCAGAAGACCTCCCATGTTGTAATCCATGTAATTCCCTCAGATAGGTAACACCTTCTGACCATTAATTATTTATAAAAGAGGTGGGGGTCATCCACACTGTTGTGTTGGAGGATGTATGTGCCAATCCTGGGGGTCTTTAGACACCCCAGAATCTGCAAGCTGGTTCTGTTTGGAAGGCTGCCCCTGAGTACAGGCAGATGCCATGCTTATCTGATTATCTATTACAACTTCTAAGGTGACTTCAGTTGCAACTCAGTGTACCTGTTGGAGGAGTCTTGTGGGGTGTTATGGGAACTCCAATATCTACAGCTGGATTCTGTTAGGTTGACTTTCCCTAAATTAAAATCAACCTGTTGCTTGTACTATGAATATATACTGTACTACTGGTTGCAATCAGTAACTGCCATCTATGCAATTGAATGACTTGTATGGTGAATGTCTACTATTTGTCTCATTTTGTATGTTATAGATGGGACTTCTAGCCCCCCACAAGTTTCAAACACTGGATTCTGATGCCAAGAAACCCCCTTAGTTGCACTAATCGATAGTTGCTAACTGTCCCGGATTATTTAAAATTTTAAATGATATGCCACCATTGCTCAGTCTTGGCCAATGTCCCAAATATTGGAGGCCAAGGTGGGGGCTTCCTAACATCTACACGAGACCCATTTGCTCAGCAGGAAGGGGAGCCATGGCATACTGGGTTCTACAGGAGTCCCATTTTCTCAGCAGGAAGGGGAGCCACGGCGGACTGGGTTCTTTTTTTCCATTTTCGGGAGCGGCAGAGTAATGTGCAGTGCTGCTGTAGCTCCCAACCACTTTTCTATCACAAGTGTGAACGGCAGAGGATCCTGCCTCGGTGTGCACTGTGCAGTCTTTTTGGGAAAGTTTGTGTCTGCATAAAGAAGGGGCAAGCCAGGTAAGCTCTTTCCTGGGGGCACTGCTTGTCTTCTTCTAGGAAGAGGAGTAGTAGAGGGGAGGCTGGCTGATATTTCTCTGAGCTCTTACTGCACAGAACTGATCTTTCAGCTGCAGCCGACAGTGAGAAGAGCAGCTGCAGCTGAAAGGTCTCTTCTGTGTTCCTCCTACCAAACTCTCTGATGGGGTCACTTTGACAGGGACACCTGCTCTGTGGGGTCACTCTGATGGGAATACACCTATGCCTGCAGTCTTTGACACTCTATTGTACTATGCCTGCAGCCTCTGACCAATTCCTGTACTACAGCTGCAGTCTCTGACCAACTCCTGTACTACTCCTGCTGTCTCTGACCTTCTTCTGTACTATGTCTGCAGGCCCTGACCACTTCTGTTCTATGCCTGCAGTCTCCAACCCTCTCCTGTAGTACTCCTGCAGTCTCTGACCCTCTCCTGTAGTACGCCTGTAGTCCCTGACCCTCTCCTGTAGTACGCCTGCAGTCTGTGACCCAGTATTGTAGTACACCTTCAGTCTCTGACCCAGTCTTGTAGTCCCCCTGCAGTCTCTGACCCTCTCCTGTACTATGCCTGAAGTCTCTGACCATCTCCTTTACTACGCCTGCAGTCTCTGACCATCTCCTGTACTACGCCTGCAGTCTCTGACCCTCTACTGTATTAGGCTGCAGTCTCTGACCATCTGCTGTACCCCGTTTGCAGTCTCTGCCCTTCTCCTGTACTATGCCTGAAGTCTCTGACCATCTCCTTTACTACGCCTGCAGTCTCTGACTATCTCCTGTACTATGTCTGCAGTCTCTGACCAATTCCTGTACTTCTCCTGCAATCTCTGTCCCTCTCCTGTACTAGGTCTGTAGTCTTTGACCAACTGCTGTACTATGCCTGCAGTCTCTGACCCTCTCCTGTACTACGTCTGCAGGCTCTGACCCTTTCTTGTAGTATGCCTGCAGGCTCTTACCCTCTCCTGTGGTACTCCTGCAGTCTCTGAACCTCTCCTGTAGTACACTTGCAGACTCTGACCCTCTCCTGTTGTATGCATGCAGTCCCTGACCCTCTCCTGTAGTACGCCTGAAGTTCCTGACCCTCTCCTGTACTAACTGCAGTAACCTCTAGCAACCAATCAGTGAGCAGTAATGATGTGCAGTAACCAGTAGCAACCAATCACTGCAGTCCCAGTCTTGTAGAATGTGTGCAGTCTCTGACTATGTCCTGTACTACACCTGCATTCTCTGACCCTCTCTTGTACTAAACCTGCAGCCTCTGACCATCTACTGTACTGTGCCTGCAGTCTCTGACCCCCTCCTGTACTAACTGCAGTAACCTCTAGCAACCAATCAGTGAGCAGTAATGATGTGCAGTAACCAGTAGCAACCAATCACTGAGCGTGGATTAGTTCTTTATGTTTACATTATTAAAGTTTTTTGAGATAAGTCTATGTGTGTGTTGTTGATTTTTGGAATGCTGCAAAATTGCATGGGGGAAGAGCCCAAGAAAAAAAAATTGCACGAGGGAGAGTGAGAAAATCTCACTCTATTTAAAGACACCCCTTTTAAACCACAGCCAATATTTGGTGCTATTTAATCCATGCCCATTTTTCAGTGCGCTGCGCAAGGCACCACTTTTCCCTTCCAGACCATAGACCAAGCCCATAAATGAATATCACACCCCTAATTAACATACTTCTCCACCTACACTGGCTTTTTGGACATACAGACAACGAAAAGTGTCCTTTAAGATTTTTTTTAAATTTTGGCAACTATGCGTGTTGCTTCTCATGCATATCACTGTTCACCTTTCCTATGTCTACAAATGTCTTTTAGGATCCTCACTAAAAACATTGACTACTGGAAGCAATATATAGACCCACCAGAATTCCATCAGGGGAGAGAAAACCATTGGAAACCATTGTGTCAGGCTTTTGTTCAGATTATTGAACATTTGTTTCATGTTATCCTTACCCTAGGGTCATTCTTCATCTTGTGACCACAATATGCCTCCTGTTTCAGGGTTTCCTTTCATCCAAGATCCAAGATGCATGCTGCATACTATATAGGTAATAGCTACAGTAAAGTCAATCCAGCAAGTTCAGAAATTCTTTTATAACCTGTACTTTGCATGTTCTAATGTGGCAAAGTACCTCCACTTGCCTTCTGAAGTGTTCTTGATTGCTGCATGACCCCTGAAACCTAAATTACTTTGTCAATAACATTGAAATTGCTGTCTTAATGTAGCACATGGAATCTGTTTTATTAAAATAAAAGGATAAAAACTACTCAGAAATATGTAACTGCATTTGCTCATCATCAAGGACAGAAAGCCAATGTAAAGTTCCAGACTCAACAGTATAGAAGATGAGCCCAGAGAGAGACTTTATACATCCATCACTAACTCTATACAACTCAACCTTGCAAGTTTCATATAGTATGCCCTTTTTTTCAGGGCCTAGCGATCCATGCTTCATGTACCCTGAAGTCTGAAAGGGCTTATTCACACAATTTGCATTGCGCATTGCGCCACTGGGTGGGGACTAACTGTCACCACCAGCGACACTAATATAGTGATCAGTGATAATACTATACACTGTCACTGTACTAATGACACTGGCTGGAAAGGGGTTAAAACCTTGGGGTAAACAAGGGGTTAGGTTTGTGCCTAACATGTGTTAATGTGTGTATTATGTGCTGCTTTTTACTAAAAAATCTCCCTCTGTACAGAGCTCTCTGTTGATTGTCAACACAGGGCCCTGGGCTGTAATTGGACATAGCTGATCAGCAGAGCCCGCCCATGAATCATTAGCCAGGATATGCTGACAAAATCCCATTGTGTCTAATCACAGTGGAAATCGGCAGACGGGGGCTTGCACGTGTGCCTTGTATCCTAAAGAGGCTAGTAACGTACGCATACCTTGCTATGCAGTACACTGCGGGCGGGAGGTCCTTAAGTGGTTAAAGAGGACCTACCACCAAAAAAATAATCATATACTGTAGGGGACATTTTCTCATCTATGTGATACAAAAAAATTAGGTTAGAAAAAAAATAAGAAAAAGTGTAAAAAAAATTTAAATTCTACCCAAGCTGACCCCCACAAGCTTTTAGGATTGGTTCACATATATGCATTTTGCATTTGATCCTTTCTCCCATGCTTTTTTTTCAGTTTGTTTTGCATTTTTCTAATCGTGTTTTTGACATATTTTTGATGTTTTTTTTATGCGTTTTTACCCCGTTTTTGTTCAGCTTTTTTTTTTTTGGTTAAAGTGCAATTTTTTTTGTTGCTGGGGGGAATAAAAAGGCAAAATGCAAAACACAGCAAAAATGCACTATCATGCATTTCAGCAGCTTCTCCATTGAACTCTACTGTTGCAAAAACACTTTTTTTTGCTTTTAAAAAAAGTCCCTGACCCTTTCCAAAAATGCAGCAGCTCAAAAAAGCATAGATGTGGACATGTTCCATAGGGAACCATGTTAAAAACTCATTGGTGTGAACGGAGCCTTACTTCTACATACCCTGTAAAGAGAGTTGTGCACACTTGATGTTTTATTCCTATATGATATACACATTTAGCAAAATATTAACAGAGAGACTCAAAACATTGAAGAATCCCATTTTTTAGGCATGCCACAACTTAGCTGGTTTTATTCAAATGCTGGAGCATACATTTAATAATAAACCACATTTATTGGTAAATTCCACATAAATAACCTGCGTGTATGGAATGCGCGTAGGACACATTTTTTTGGTCTATGATCAATACATGTATATCCATAGTAAAATCTGGCTCCCTGACTAAATCTTATAATCATATAAACTACCTTAACCTATACATGGAAAACATTATGATTTTCTAGTAACCCTGCATTGAAATGTGAAAGCACACTGTCCTTATTTTAGACATGTGTTTAAAAAAAAAAAAAATTATGTTTTTTGCAAGCAATAGTTTGATGAAAAAGTTTTTTTTTTTAATCACTTAATGACAGAGAGATTTTTCTCTATGACTTTATTCCAGTTTTAATTTAGACAGAAATGAGTTTTGATGACATTTCATTCCCTATTGAAATTAGTCATTTAGGCTTTAAATTTTTGTTTAAAAAGCAGTCACCCCTTGAATTGAGGCCATTTTGGAGATGTAATCATAAAGCAGAAGGGGTCTTTGCAAGGGGTGTCAATTATGGTTCACAGGAGCAGTTAATTAACAGTCATATACTCGTGCTTCAATAGTATGCCACAGACAGCTCCATCTTTTGTCCAAATACATTAACAATAAAGAAGAATGAGAGATCCTAAAAGAACTCTTTGTGATTAACTGTAAGATACATACTGCATTTATCATGTTCACTTCAATGATCTTTTTCTTTTTTTTTTTGTTTGTTTTGTTAAAGCAGACTTAATTTTATCTTAGCACCACAAATTGAAAATGCTATTTTTTAATTTTTAATATTAGCAGCAAACTCACCCTTCCATGTCTCCATACTTTATTTTGTTGAGAAATCTCTTTAAAAAAACACACCTAGCATTTCTAACCATGTTCATCTTTAATAAGGGAAGATGATTTATGTAGCTTTTCCTTTATTAAATTCATCTGCCTTATCTCAAGCATGCAAGCAGGAGGGTTTGCTTAGCTAAGAAAGCCCCCACCTCCCCATCTCCTGGTGAAAAAACAAAAATAGCCAAGAAGACTTCGGGGATAATTGACATTATTTTGGCCTAACCTGGGAACCAGGAAGCAACTGAAAAAAATGTAAAAAAAGTTTAAAACAATAAATATATTTTACCTAAATATAACATACCTTCCTATCTATTTACTAATACTAGCAGCATAAGGAATAAAAATAGGTAAGGTCAACTGAGAGAGTTTAGTTCCACTTTAGGTTAGCATAGTAGTGTATAGAGTTTGAGATCTGTGACAGCATGGCAGTGCATTTTGTTAAGATATTTAGGCCTCATGCATATGAACATCAAGTATCAGGCGTGTAAGGGAACTCAGCAGTCACATTCACAGTCTAGAGAGTTTGAGAAGTTTTTAGAAGCCAGTAGGCGGGCGTGAGGAAGGGCTGATCTGCATATTTATGGGAGTGTGACCAATCCCAGGCAGGAGGCCTGTCAGTGTTGGAGATCAGCCCATAAATATGACAGAGCCTGTCCAGCAAGCAGAGCTGGGTGGAAGATGGAGTAAGGAAGCAGTGCTGGTGTGGATCCTGGAAGGGGGCCCCGGAGAAGGGGGCCTATCTACAGGCTGAGAGCTAGAAAGAGGGACCTCTACTGTTCTACAATCTTCAGCGAAGGACAGCCTGTCATCAGGGGAAGAAGCCAGCCCAGCAAAAGGCCTAAAAGCAGCTTCACCTTTAAAGCTACAGAAGCAGGACAGCGTGAGTATTTCTACACCCCCCTGGTCTTACAAGAGAGAGTGCAGTTAGGTGCCATACTAGTTCTCCCTGGGACAGCATTCTTTATGCATCTCGGAATCCCTTGCCCTGGGATACTTTTCATGACAGTCAGGTGGATGAGAAGATTTCCATCTGGGGTCTGAATAGGTTCATTTAAGGGGACTGAGTGCTCCTAGTAAGGACTGTGTGCTAATCCACCAAGAATCAAAAGCTACTCTAAGTGGAGTAGAAACTCCTGGATCGATTTTTGCTTTTTTGTACATAAGGTCATCCTCCAAAGTTAGTTAAGTTCAGTTGTGCATCCCACTTTAATAGCATCAAATGCAGGGCTTTTCTCTCAGACAATAGGTACAGATACCCCTGGTCTCTGCCCCCTACCCACCTCCGAGCACTATCCTTGGTTCCATCCTCTATGCACCTCCCAGTACCACCCTTTTTAGAGAATACCAAAGTATCTTTGTAGTGTTCAGTAAAATGTATACAATTTGTTGATCCCCTGCAGTGAACAACAATAGATTCCCCCTTGTAACAATAGACTCCTTGCAACAAAATACCCCCCAGCAACAATAGATCTACTGTAGCATCAATAGATCCCCACCAGCGACAATAGACTCCCCAGCAGCCAGCATCAGTAAACCCTTCAGCAGTCAGCAACAATAGACCCCTTCCTCAAGCTATGGACAGAAGTAAAAGCCTAATAGAGGATCTAAAGCTTTCCCAATTTGTCTAGAATTAAATAGTAAAATAATAATAATAATTAAAATACATTTTTTTAGCTCAACTTCATCATGATCCATTCACACTTGAGTGATGCTACCATTTTTGGCACTTTTTTTGTACTTTTTTAGTGTCTCTCTTTACTCCAAAAACTGTCTAAAGAAGCTCATGTACCAAATTATGGTACTGAGCAAAGTG